AGCACAGAGTGATCCAGAGACCTCCCTAAGGTAGAGGGTCCAAGCTTAAAAACCAAGTCATGGAAGCTCTTGACCATTGGACTCTGCTGTCTCCCAGTGTCCTCCACCTGCAGGATTTGGATTTAGTTGGGGTGTTAGAGTCATGAGCTGAAAGTGAACAAGGCTCTATTTAGCCACTCCTTCATACTGTAGATGAAGAAACTGCAGGTTAAGTGACAAGTTAAAGTTTACCTGGTGAGGTAGAGACTGCTAAGTAGTGGAAGGAGAATCACTGAAGTTGTTTCCACTGTGATTATGATTACCATTTCAGTGATGTGAAATAATTATCCCTAGAGCATTAGTCCAGTGTGAGCGTTTCTGTTGGACTGAAGCAAACAAAGAAGGACTAGCTGCAGCAGAGACCTGATAGGAGGCTGCTAGCTGAATCCAGACAGGAGTTGGAGGGAGCCAGAGCTGGGAATTGTCAATTATGTTAATCGGCATGGCTGTTTTCTGTCACCCTTTAGATCTTTAGAGTGCAGGCAACATCTGCCTGTGAGTGCCTTTCAAGTATGTGAATCTGCACTGTACTGTGACCGAAATGCCTTGGTTAATGAATTCTCCAGAAGCAAAGCACCATTATGGAAGTTGAATGTTTAAAAAACAAATACCCACATTTTGTGGAAAGAGCGCCAGATTAGGAACAAGATAACTTGCATTCTAGGCTGCTTCTGCTACTTAAGCACCAGATAGCCTAAGTCAAATTACCTAAATGTCTCAAACTGTGGCTGATTCCTTATCAGTGGCACAGGTGTAACAATTCTCATCCAGCGCCTTACAGTGTGGTTCTGATGCTGGAAGGAGATAAGGAAAAATAAGGGGTTTGAAAGCTGCAAAGTTGCTCCCTGGTTGAAGGGGGGCAGCCATCGTAGTTTTAATAGTGAAGGTGTACTGGCCTTGCAGGGATAGTCCGGAGGAGCTGAAGGAAGTTTCCGCCCCCAGGGCTTGTTTGGGGATGAGGCGCTGTCCACCAGATGGGTGCTGACGGGCCTCACTTTGCTGGGTATGACCATATTTTAAAGGTGACGATGTATTTCACCCTAGAAATGGGGAGCCACAGCCTGGGCATGACTGGAAAGTTAGGCACAGATATTCACGTTAATCTCTTCTCCTCTGGACACACCTCTCAGGATAATGATGAGCAGGTGTGAGCCAGAAAACAAAGTGTCAGGATCTAGCCAACTGGCCAGTTGGGTATGCTTGGATGTTTCACCTATCCTGGGGCATGAGGCAGAAATCCAGAAGAACCTTGATTAGCCTAGGAGCTAATGGGTGAGCCAGCATGCTGTCCAGGTAAAACCTGATTACAAAGCCCGTAGCAAAGTCTTGACTGGAAATGTGCCACATCTTAATTTTTCTTAGTTTTGCATGGATGATGATGATGATGATGATGATGATGATGATGATTCATAGCAATATCTAACCTTTGAGTATTTGCCATATGCCAAGAACTGTGCAAAGTGCTTATATGCCTTTTCCCACTTAATACAGTAGCCCTGTGGGGTGGACACTGGGAATCTCACTTTCTAATTAGGGAGACCGAGACCCAGAGATGCTTCAGATAACACACAGTGGGTGGGAAAGCCATGATTCAGACCCAGGACAGTCTCCGGAGCCTGAAATCTCAACTGTTACCTTCTTTCTTCCTTTTCCTGGCACCCCACATGCTTCCTGCCCCTGGTTTTGAGGTTTCTGACAGCACGGTGGATCTCCGGAAGGCATTTTTGGTTGATAAATGACATGTCACCCAGTGGCCTCAGCTCACTGTGGCTCGCTCTTCTTTGTAGACGGTGGCTGACATCGAGCAGCTCTCACTGGCTGCTTAAAGCTCACGAGCAAAATGATGCCAACACTGAATGTAGCAGATTGACTAACTCTTGCTGGCTAATGCATGTGGGGATTTTAAGGAAAGAAAAATAAGACAGTGAAAGGGATTGCTCTGGGTCAGTTTTTCAAAAAGTCTAGCTTATACTCTGCTCAGTGTTCATTACCATGCTTGTCAAAATCTCCCCACAAAAGCCTTTGCAAATGTCAAGATCCTGATGATACTATTTACCTCCATGTGTGATTTACAAAGTAACTTTTGCATGCATTTTCTTGTTTAGTCTTCACCACAGCCCCATGAGGAGAGGTGTTTAGAAAGACTTGTTTTGCTGGCTGTGGTGAAATACTTGGGGAGTTTAAGCTACTGCCTGGGGTCCCAAAGCTAAGTCAGTAGGACGGCCAGGACTTACACGCTGCTTTTCTGACTTTAACTCTTACTCTGTTCCCCAGTTTCTCTTCGCTTTGTCTGTTGAAAATGTTGTTAAGTGATCTGATTTACTGTATTGAGAAGTCAGCAGGGATTATTAAGGTGAAGTATTTTGTGCTACACACTGTTAGAGAATGAGAATAAATAAAAAGTCATGTATGGTTGTTGTGTTGGGCAATTGGTTTGCACCTACTTTGTATGGCATAGGACACACATATAGCTTTGCGGTATATTGTTGGACCAACAGCCCTCTTAGCTTTAAAAGTCCAAAGGCTTTGGGGCACCTGGGTGGCTCAGTCCGTTAAGCGTCCAACTTCAGCTCAGATCGTGATCTCACGGTTCATGAGTTTGAGCCCCATGTCTGGCTCTGGGCTCAGAGCCTGGAGCCTGCTTCGGATTCTGTGTCTCCCTCTCTCTCTGCCCTTCCCCCACTCGTGCTCTGTCTCCTTCTCTCTCTTGCTCTCAAAAATAAACATTAAAACAATTTTTTTTTAAAAAGTCCAAAGGCTTTAATAGATGATAAAACATGGAATTTGTGTAATGTCCTTTAAAAGTTGACCATCAAGTTCTTGGTTAGGAACACAAGCTCCTGTTATCACATTGTTTCCATGGAGAAATTAGCCTTGGCTCACATCATTTCAGCTCTTGGTGCCTTTTCCAGGAATGGAGTGAACTGCTTTAGGAGAGAGAGCTGGTCATGCTTGTCACCTAGAGCTCTCTCCCCTCCTATAAGTGCAGGGGGCTGATTTAGTTCTCTGGGCCCTCTCAATTTTTCCTGTGATCTGAACATAAATCATCTGTGAGGTCCTGCTAATTTCATTTTTTAGAAGCTTTCCATGAAACAAACCTGAATGGAACGTTTTCTTATATAGGTTTGAACCTCCCCTTTAAAGTATTTAATTGGTGGGCCACCTGGGTGGCTCAGTTGGTTGAGCATCTGACTTGGTTCAGTTCATGATCTCATGGTTCTCTGAGATCTATGAACCATGATCTCATGGTTCATAGGTTCAAGCCCTGCGTCAGGCTCTGTGCTGACAGCTCGGAGCCTGGAGCCTGCTTCGGATTCTGTGTCTCCACCTCTCTCTGTCCCTCCCCCACAGGGCTCTCAAAAATAAATAAACATTTAAGAAAATTATTTTTAAAAAAAGTATTTATTTGGTGGCAAGGGGCTTTACTAGGAGAATGTAGAACTGGTCTCGCTCAAGCCTTTTCAGTTGGGACACCAAGCAAGTTCCTGTATTAAAGAGATCCATGGACCATGGCTGAAACTAGTCCTTAGCAGCCAGTGGTCCAAGCCTTCTATATTCAACATGTGGCTTCCACTTGGTGGTTGAAGGCAGAAGCTTCCATTTTTGCCATCTCCTGGGGGAAAAGCTAAGGGGGGAACACCTGCAGTCATTTTAAGGGCAAGACCTGGTAGTAGCACATTCTTTTATTCTAGGGGCCAGAATTAGTTAGTTGTACTAACTAGAGGTATGGCTACATCTAACTACGAAGGAGGCTGAGAAGCATCTTTAGGTGGGAGGTCATGAGTCCAGCAAAAGCTGTATTTAAAAGTGGAGAGGATATAGAACATTAGGGGAAATTTGCAGCATGCTGCATTGTGGTACCAGCGGGAAGGATTAAATAGAGTTTGAAGCTGGTGCCAGGAGAGCTGGGAAGATGCCTGAGTCCAGGGTCAGGATCTAGGCAGGCACACAGAAATCTTGGCATATGTAGCCATCTAGAAGTCAGGGCAACTCATTGCTCAGAGACGAGGCTGCCAGGTAGAACCAAGGTGCTAGAGGTGCTGAGGTGCTGGAGGGGATATGAATAATCTAGAAGACTTCAGTTGTCAGAGGAAATTCATCAATGTAAGTGGTACAGTAGAAAGAGCACTGAGCTAGGAGTCAGAAGACCTGGGTTTGAGTCCATCCGCTTCTGCTTCATAACCTGGGGCAGAAGGCTTTGATGAACATTTGCTTTATCATCTACAATGTGGGAATAATGGTGATGGCCTTTCCTGTCTCCCAGGCCTAGGGTGAGTAATGGAAGGGGAAGTGCCCTGCAAACTGAGCTCCATGGAAACTGGCATAGCATCTGTGTTATTCACCTGTATGTCCCCAGCATCTGGTGCAGTGGTGGGGAAAACTTGCATTGTGTGGAGATCTTGGTCCTGGACAGTGTTCTCTGCTAGGCAGAGTTGTTCTTCTGTTCGTCATTGGCCAAGGTCTTCATTGGCCAAGGTACAGCCACGTACCCCACCAGGGTGTGGGCAGACATCAGGGCAGCTCCCAACCAGGTAGCATAGGACATATAATATGTCTTTGGCAGAGCCATTTGCTTACTCCACTGACGAGGTGACAGAATACAACAAAAGGGGAGCTAGGACTTCCATTTGGATGTCATGGTCCCCGAATATGAAGTGATCATTTTTAACTGGTCTGGTCTTCCTGCAGATTGGAAGATGAAACCTTCCCAAAGCTGTTAGAACATGACCTCTTGCTTCAAAATAGTAAGATGTAGTTATAAAATTCCTCTGTTGATTTGGAAAAAAAAAATATGTGGCTTGTTCAAAACAATAAATGTTTACTGAAAGTATGATATAGATAAGAGAATACAAAAACAAGCTTATGGTTTCTATCCCATGGACTGTTTCTATCCTGGCCAGAGTGATTTTTTTTTTCTTTTGCTGGAGAAATGGGGTCTCAGTGGATAATCAAAAAAAAAAAATTTTTAACTTTGATTCATTTTTTTATTTAATGTGTTTATTCACTAAAGATGATCTTCTTTCCTGGAACACAGTGGAGTATTTTTAACTGGACTTTACTGGAAAAAAAAAAAAGCAGGAATTGAACTTACATTCACAGTATGCTCTTGACTCTGTTAAAAGCTCAGGCATAGAAGGAGGGAAAAGCACCTAAGTGTTAACAGCGGTTCTCATCTCGTAGAATTTGAGGTGATTTCTATTCTCATCTCCTTCCCTGTGGTTTTCTATTTTTCAACAGTGAGCGTGTGTTGCTGTTATAATCATAATCGGCTAGTTAAAAATGAGTCTTATAAATTAATACCCTCCAGCCAAATGAAGAATTTTGATTTTTGGCAACCTGGCCTGGGGCTATAGGCTCTCATGTTAACTCAGGCCTATTGAGGTGATTTTCTGACAAGGTAAGGAATTTGTTAGAAAGAGGATGTTTTCCTTTGTGGAAATCAACACAGAAAGCAGTCATTCTGTGACATGTCGGGAAAGATGTCCGGGGGATCTCTGCTCCTGGAATTTGACTAGCCTGTTTTACGGTCACTTGAGGAAATGAACCTTGCAGGTTTCCCATTCACCGAGTGACTGTTCTCCTTTATCTTATACTCCTGTGTTCCTCGGGGACCCCTGGCTCCATCATCCTGGGATCAGGTGACCCTGTCCTTTGTTCTCTCAGACTCTTCCATTACCAGTGTCCTCTGTGCATGTTTCCCTCCCTCTGTTTGTGACTGTAGATTTGGTGGTGGCTTCTTCCCACTGCCATGTTTACAAACTGAGGAGAACTAATTGTTGCTCTTTTCTGTCACAGTTGTCCCTTGCCCTTGTCATTGCTCAGGTGAGTGACCTGAGCCGTGCTCTGGGGACAGAATGAAGCGGAGGGGTCAGGACTGTAGGGAAAGGGTGGGGGTACTGAGCTGACTGCAGGACCTTGGGGAAGTCCCTGGGCCATCCACCTAGCACTTGGCCCGTACCCGGCAGGACGCGCTCTGACACAGCTCCTACAGATGACTGCTTGGTGTTTGAAGCCATGCACTGATCTGTTGAATTCCTGCAATGTGGCAGTCACTGTTCCGGATGCCGTCAGGGGGCATAGTGATGAGCAAGGCAGACCTGCTGTCTGCTGTCATGGAGCTTTCATTCTCGTGGGAGAGAGAAACGGTTCACAGGGAAATAAACGAAGCTCATTACAGACTGTAAGAGCGGCCCCAGAGATGGTTACATGCGCCCTTTTGTAGTGGAGCAGGAGGGCCGGGGTTAGGATGATTCAAAGGCCTGGCTCCTACTATTTCGCCCCCTGTGCTTGCTAGTGGGGAGGGAGGAGATTTGGGGCGGGGCGGGGCGGGGGGGGGGGAGGGGTGCGGATATCTCAGTAAAGCTGAGCTGCTTCTCCCATTCAGTCCACCTGGGCCAGGCCTGGGCGTACAGGTGGAGAGAGCAAAAGCCAAGGCATACCCCGGGGGCACGTCCTTCTTTTCTGAAGAGCCAAGAGCCAGTTTGCATAAGGAAGTCCCAATCAGTGCCCGCTGCAGCTTTTTCCATGGCCAAGCTTGTGTTTTCTCTCTTATTTACAACTTGTAACGAGGCCCAGCCTCTCCGAGTCCTTCTAGCAGGATATTGGACTGATCCTTTCAAGGACAGGGTCTTCTATTTTGTTGTTGCCATTTTAGTTATAGTAACCCCCTCCCTGACACCCTGTTCTCCAGGTCTGGTCTTGCATGTGTTCAGGGTAGTTTACTGTGCCATTGCCCATCCTGAAGCTCTTGATCACTGACACTTACAGGATCTTTGAGTATCACTGTCGGCTTGGCTTTTGGCTGCCCAGAAAAGCTGGAAGTTGGGGAGATGTGAGCTTCCTTGTCGAGTCTTCTTTTCTATTACACTTCTCTGTCAGATCGAGGGCTCAGCCATTGGTCCTGTTCTTTGTGCCCCATCTTTCTGAAAAACCAGGACAGACAGGACCCTGCCTCCCATGAAGACTCCGCACCCTTCCTTCTACAGCCCGTAATGTCTGTGTTTTCTGACCCTTCTTCTCCCGTCTTCCTGTTCAGAGAACAAGGCCTTTGAACTTGCCTCACACTGGCTTGATGCAATATGGGAAACCAAGTTACCTGCCTCCTGAAGGAGTCTGGGACTCACTTGGCTTCCAGAGCCCCCCCACCCTCACTTCTCTGCCACCCAGAGGATAAGTCATGCCCACGGTGATCATTTAACTCTCCTATCAGGGCCTACAGGAAGGCCGTTTGTTACTCAGTTAATTTTCTTGTGTGTGGGGGGGTCTTGTTTACTAGTCTCATTCGTTCTGTGTTGTTACCAATTCTTTAAAAATATATCTGCATATATGCACATGTAAGGATGTGTGTGTATCTTTTTCTATGGAGAACAAAGGGCTTTGGAATGAGTGTGGCCCTGAGAGGGTCTGGATTTACACCCCGGGAGTGGTCGTCATCCTTTGGGAAATCTACCCCTTGGTCCCAAATATCAACCGACTGGAATTTGTCAAGTTTTGTCCCAACCTTAGTTTCATAGTTTTCCCCCAGTTTCTGAGACAACTTTGGGGTTCCCTGTGTTCAGGGAGGACTTCAGTCATTGGGTCCACCCCTTAAATACACCGACTCGGTGAGGAAAGCCTTTCATGGCCGGCCTCAGGGCCAGGGCTGCTGGGTGGAGTGTGCCTCTTACAGTCATCATGGCCCGGGCCGTGTGTAGGCCTCCTTTACTTGGCCGTAGCGTGGTGGAGAGTGTCCAGTCTGCTTTGGAATAAGCAGTTTTGTTTAAAACAAGTTGGATCCAAAAGTTGCGTCTTAGGTGGTCTGAATGGCTCCCCTCCCTCCTCATGGATTTCAGCTGGTTAATATGGTGGCCTGGCTTGGTCCAGGCAGACCAAGGACGTCTGCCTGGACTTCTGGCTGACCGGCACCCCTGCACTCCTCAGCATGAGTTTGCCTCCCTCTGCTCAGGAGGGAAGGAAGAAGTCATCCTTTCCACTGGTTTGAAACAGGACGTGCCTGAGTGAGGCGGCAGGGATGAGGGAGTCATCTATTCATTCGATGTCATCTGAGGGTCCCCCGTGTACCTGGTATGATGGGAAGCCACTGGAGCATTGAGAGCACGAAAACAATAAGTGATTCATGTTTTCTAAAGGTTCTTCTGGCTGCCCATGGACTGAAGTGGGAGGGATAAGCATGGAGCAGGGAGCTGGGTTAGGAGGTGCATGTTCTGGTCCAAGGAGCCAGACTGGCTTGGATGCCACTGGTAGGCATCTGTGTGAGCAGACAGGGAACAGACAGGCCTTCGCTGGCTGCCATTGTCATTTTCCCTGGGGCTCTGGATCCCCTGGACCATGAGCCTCCCCTTCCCTAAATGTGGCAGGCCCTGCCAAGCTCCTGCTCCATGGCTGGTGCTGTTCACTCCACCTAGAACGTTCTCTTCCCCCGCTTCCCAATCCCGGTGGTTCTGCTACTGCCTAACCCAGTGACCTTGGGCAAGTTACCAGATCTCTCCTGAGCCTCAATGTCTTCATCTGTGAAAGAGTGAGCACAGAACTCCCTCATGGGATTGGGAGGGGAACATTATATGTACTTGAGTGTGATCGTTGCCGTAGCCTCTGCAGTGGTCTTTTATTTCCACCCTTACCCTGCTCTGTATGCGCTGTGCCCAGTGACCCAGTGAGCCGGGGTCCAATCAAGTCGTGCCTCTGGCTCAGAGCCCTCTCGACAGTAGCTTCCTATCTCGCTCAAAGGAAAAACCAAATCCTCAGCACGGCCCCCAGGGCTGCCTGGTGCTTCTCTGACCCCATCTCCCAGCCCAGGGCCTGGTGGGTAACCAAGCAGGCTGGGTCGTGCGTAGCTCACTGGTGCATGTGGGTGGTGTCCCCCCCCTGGACCCCGAGTTATGCAGTGCACGACTCATGTGGCCGAATGCACTGATCCCACCTGCCCACCTCTTGCCCCACTTCAGCCACATCAGAGTCCTTGCTGTTCCGCAAACACGCCAAGCTGGCTTCGGGCTCGGGCTCTTTCCTCTGACTGCTCCCTCTGCCTTGAATGCTCTTCCCCCAGATATTTGTATGGTGTGGTTACTCCCCGTCTTCAGGTCTTTTCTCACATGCCACCCTGTGTAAAGTCGTACCATTCAGCCCACTGCCCCCCAGATGTTTCCCTGTTTCCCTTTTGTTTTCTTTTTCCTCTTAGCTCTTAACGTCATGTAACATAGTCTGCAGTTTACTTTCTTACTTGGCTTATCATCTCTCTTCTCAATAGAAGGTAAGCTACGAGGGCAGAGACCAGTGTTTGTTTTGTTCACTGCTGTGTCCCCAGTGCGTGAGATGGTGGCGGGAAGATAGCAGCGGCTCACTAATAAAGGAGTAAATGAGTTTACAATAAAGCAAGTGGAGTGTTTTGTCCCGTGCTTAGCATAAGTGAGTGCGCAGTAAGCGCTTGCTGCCATCGTCTTCATCATTGGTATCGATTATCCCTCTGAGCCCTTCCCCAGCCCCTTCTTGGGTTGAACTGCATCGTGGCCACCTCTGCTCCCTGCTGCCCTTCCTTCTGTGTCCTCTCCCTCCGTGGCATTGATCACACCGCACCAGTGGAACACGTCTCACTCTTTTCCCTGTATGAGCCCAAAGTCCTGTGGGGCAAATACGGACTTGCTCAGATTTGTACCCTAAGGACCCTGCACCCGTGGGGTAGCACATAGTAGGAGCTCAGGAAGTGTCCACTGGCAGCCAGGACAAGTGGAAAGAGCTCTCCAATTCCTCACCAGTGGTCCTGGCTCCATAATGTTTGCAGTCCCACTCCCAAGGGGTGTCATGAGAGAGTCTGACAACCACTGAAGTGACAAAATCTCTAACAGTATGTTTAGAACAAATTTGGGGGAGCAGAGTGCCTCCTGTGCATAGTCCTTTGAATGACCGTATCTGGGTGCCTTGCTCATTCCACAAGTGAGAGTCGGGCCCTTTGGCTGCACAGGACCCAAGGAGACAGTGTGAGTCAACTTAGGCTCATTCAGTGGAGACCATGTGAGTAACACCAGTGTGTTTGGAGGAGGCTGGGGAGAAGCAGAGAAAGCT